ATACTACTTTTTGTTTGGTTTTACTTATGTCTTTAAGTGTTTTTGGTCACAAACCACTCAGGGGACGAGGGGTTCGCGATTCCCCCCACCCTTCCTGGTTCATGAATTTTCGGTCTTAACTAGGTTAAAAAACTATTCACGTGTGCCAGTCGGTCATATTTGGAAGTTTGACCTTGAGAGAAGCAAAAAGCACTTGATTTTGGAGTGAAATTTAATTTTTCAAAATTTCGAATGGAACCTGTCATGCACGATTTTCTCGCGAGAACTGAAAATCAGAAAAAGAGATCAGAACAATTTCAGAACAATTGAGTCGAAAACGCGGGAAAGTCGCAAGAAAAAGCAGTAGGAAATTGCTATTCGCAATTTCCATCACTATAATAATCGAGAGTAGAGCTGTCCCATCTGTGACAGAGACGAGAGCATTCCCTCGAATTGGATTATAACGACTGGAGTATTATTCAGAACTGGACTAGAGTGAACCTTCGGTGGAAAGGTGGACAGCTAGAGTGTCCCAATGGTTTACGAGAACTTACAGTCTAGAGAAAAAACTTATTCTTATTATTAAAACTGACTAACATTAAACTCATTTTAGTTACTTTATTAATTCTTGAGTTGCTTACCGACTTATTTACTTCCTGGTTCTTGAGCGTGCTACAATGTGAGTACTTAATTTAAATTCCTAGAGTGTGTTTTATAATTGTGATGTTGAGGTAAGGCGAGTTTTAGGTTGATCCATCTGAAATGGATCAAAGTTCCACTGTCTAATAGAAAAGCAACTTAACGGATTGTTCCAACCCGGTTTTTAACGGCGTTCATGTATTTTGGGTATCTAGAGACCTAAGTATGGGGACGTTTCTAATTCTAGAGTGGGGGGATATTTTAGTAGTAGCCTTTAAGCTGTAACGGGTCGTAGTCTCATGTCACAAGCGAACCGAACTGGCTCCGACCGTTCTTGAGGTAGAAAAACACAAGAGATAGTGTCCCTGACCCTTGAGCCAGTGGTTATAGGGCCTATTTTTCTTAAGCCTCATGTGTGACTGCAGTAGACGAATGTTACAACGGCAATCCGGAAGGCTTCCGCGTTCCGAACTACCCTTCCGCCCCGGCAGTTTAGGCCTATCAAGGGCGTTAATGTGAGCATCCGCTCGGCGCGGAGTGCTCGCTAACGGTTCCGCCGGTCATGATGTTATGAAAGAATAACACCCAGGAGCGCCATAAAAACATACATGTAACATTCGCCCGGAAGATACATATCGACGGATAACAAAACTAAGTCTTAAGACGACTGGCTAGCGTCTAAACAGATCTTAGCATGTTTTTCACCGTCTCTACCAAGCCAGTACTTTTCGGTGGTCTTTCTTACATCGGGTCGACAAAAACGTTACTGCTCTCCGGCTTCGACCAGAACGCTCAAGTTAACTGAATTACATGCAAAAATAGTGAGCTCATGGCTGGGTCTCTGTATCCCCAGACCACGAGGTCACTCCTAAAAACAGGGCTACTACTTATTATATTACTATTGTTTTTGTTCAGTAGATAAAAATCATCATCTCCATCGAAGATGGATCAACCCTTTCCCCCAACTCCTAGCACCTCATCCTTGTCAAAACTAATCAAAATATCAGTTAAATTCAAGTCAGGACATGACAGGATGCTAAAAGTTTATGTGAGTTAATAAAAGTTTCCGTCCCGAGACCCTTCCGGATTCTTGAATCCGCCGAATCAAGCTCCTTACTCTTGATTTCTTGCTAATCCGGAAGGCTGGTTCTCACCCTTCACCGTTGTTGGCAACGGCCTTGCAACTATTGTAGCAGCACAATAGTTGCAACTCGGAACGTTCTCTGCTATTCTGTAGTTCGTTGTCGTTCTCCAATCTCGATTTTCGTACTGTTCGCAATCGCAGATAAAAGTTGTTCTGTTTTTCACTCGCTTTTTGTTAAAATGGCCGTTTCAGCATTTCTCAGAAATGTGACGTCATCATTCGAATTTTTGAAAATTTAAAATACCAGAATATTCCAGCCCTCACCGTTTGGCTAAACGTTCCAACAACGTCGCTAATCCTTCGAAATCATCAACTCGGAAGGCTTACTGCTCAAAATTCGAATCCTGCATAAATTGCATTTTGGCCATTCTGGTCGAATGTCACATATTTCTGCTTGGCGTGGTTTTCTTTTTCAATCAGTTTTCGGCGATCGAAATTATAGTTTTTAACAAACTTTTATCATCCACTGAAGATATCGACTTTGAAGGTTTCATCCGTTATCTTGATAGTGTAACGCGAATTATTTATGCGTGGTGAATTATTCCGCGCAGCAAAATTGTTGCGAATTGTATTGAGGCTAGTTAGTCGGTCGTTTTAATTTCGTGGGACTCAAATTTTCACATTTGTTGTTACGACTATCCTAACAAAAGTAACGGAATATTTGTGCTCGGGCTGGTTTTTTTCTTCAGACGAATTCCGACTTTTTATCTGGCCGTGGTTGACAGAATTTTTGCTATATCATACAAAAAGTATTGTTGTCTTGATCTTAAGTTTGAAAAGATATTTCACCTGTGGTGATCATTTTTCGTAAAGTTATAGGGTTTAAAGATCGCCATTTTGGCCAATTTGGGACAATTAACACGCAACAAGTAAGCGGATATTTGATCAGTCTTTGGAATTGTTCCAAATTGCTTGAAGCAAGCTTATTTGCGATAATTGATTTGTTATCAGGAGCGAAATGTATCACTTTGTACATATGGCGTGTGGGGGGATGATTTTTCATTCTTTTATTACATTTAATTTTCCATGTTGTTACTACTCCATTGAACTTAAAAGATAGTCGGAATATTCAGGGCTTCGCCCTGATACGAGCAGTCTTATTGTAACACTTGATTTTTGATATCGTCTTAAATTTATAGTTTTTCAATGTTTTATCAAAAATCTAATCGATATGGATTAGGGGCCAGTCTGAACATTCAAGGCTTTGCCCTGATGTACGAGCAGTCTTTTATTGTTATCGGCGCAGCAACCGGCTATTCTTGTTGAAATTTTTGTTTTTTGGACATGTTCATGGTTTACTTAGTCAAAAGTGACGCGAAGCTCGCTTTGTTTTGTATTCATCCCAATGGTTCATCCCACATTTGTTGTTTGTTTTGTATTCGGTGTTTGTTGTGTATTCGGTAATTATATAATTAATTAAATAATTAATTTACAGACATTAACCTTTGTTTTTGTGTGGTGGAAATTTCACTTTAAAGTAATTAATTTTAATGTATCAGAATATGAATAATTTGTTTTAATTTTTTGAGCCTGCAACAAATTGTATTGCAGTTAGTTCCTGGAGTTTGATTTTCTGAGCCCCTGACTGAGCTTACTATCGCAATAGACATGACCGCACTTTCTGTCCATACTCAGACTATTTCAGTATAGGTCTTTCTTATAATAAATATTTGATATGTTGGTTTTGTCGCAATGTAATGTTGGAAACTCGGCCAGATACGGCAACAGGGGTTACGTAGCTGTATTTAGACAACCGTATATTCAGACACTGACATTAACCAATCAGAATAGAGACAAAGCAAGATATGAAATTCATTTCTTCCTTGTCTCGATTCTGATTGGTTAATACAGTGTCTGAATACGCGGTTGTGTAAATACAGACTGCACTCCGGCAACATGGCTAAATAAGCGATTCGTAACTAAATAAATTGCCGCATTTTGCATGATTTTGAAGCACGAGTAATACAATGCTTGTGCAATTCATTTGAGATCGGGACATTCATTATAATTCGCATTAGATAGTTATTTGCATGTTTCTTCAAAACTTATCAATGCATTTTTTAAAGCTTAATAACAATGCGTTCATCATTGCTTTATCAAAGCAAACATATCTCGTATAGTTAAGTCTTACACATAAATATACACATTTGCTTTGAAACAAAATACATTCAATGGCTTCAAAAACGCCACGAGAAACGCGACCAGGTAGTCAGCGCAATAAGACAAAAAAGGATTTCGAACCCTGTGAAATATGTTCCAAAGCAGACGGAGAAACGTCACATTGCGTGCATTGTGGGAAAATAATTTGCCATAAACACCGACAGGAACATGTAAAAGAGGTTATTGACAAGTTGAAAAAAGCCAAATCTGAAGCGAACAAATTGATAATCGAAGCACGAGGGAAACAAGGACGAATATTTCACCAAGAGCAAGCGACTGAGTTGCAACGACTGAAACTGAATGATCACGTTGAAGTTGATTTCAAGTATCTACAGCAAAATCTGGACCAGCGAGAAGCGGAACTTCTTGTAGACTTACGCAATTTTGGATTCACAGAAATCCAGAAGTTGCACGACCAGCAGGCAAAAATAGAATCGGGTTTGGCCGATCTGCGCAAGGCTGAGATGGATTTCACTTCCCGACTGGCTAGCTATACAATGATGGACAACTCGGATCTGAACTATCTGTGTCAGAGTAAAGTAAACTATATGAACTGCCTTCGATGGATCGACCAACTGTCTCAGAAACAGAGAGCGATTCCTCCAATTGAATTCAAGGCCGATACTGAAGAACTAAGAGATGAAATTAAACGCCATGGAGATATAAAGTTCAAAGGGCAATGAGTTACCATAGCCACTACTGAACTTCAAGATTTGAAGAAAAAGACATTTTTTGGCATTGAATTATTAAAGAAAGAAATTATTCAAAAGAAATACCTTGTGAACAACCAGTGAACAAAATTTAGATTTTGTTAAATGATTTCTAAAAACCATTTGCACTCAGAACTGTTTAGTCATTTGCCATTTTAACTCGTTTGTTCCATCTAGATTTTACACTTCTCAATTGATTGCGGTAAATAAGTTTAACTATCAGAAATAAAAACATTTCATAGTAACATTTCAAATTTTTGAGTAATTTTTATAGTAATTTTTAATGAAAATGATTCTGTCGTGTAAATGTAGCTCAGTCCTTTGTTTTATGTGGGCAATTCTTAAATAGTCGTGTCATTTTCAGATTGAGTTATGTCTGACGAAGTGCACGACGAAGGAGCTGTTGGGGCGCACGATGAAGGTGCCGAGTCTGAGACAGAGGAGGCGGATAAGAACTACAAGGTGCCGGAGAAGAAGTCTGCTAAGGAGATCCTCCAAGCTGACCAGGACGACCCCTCTCTGGACAATTACAAAAAGCAGTTGTTAGGAGGAGCTGCTCACGTCACAGGTTGGATAAGGTTCAATTTTATTAGAATTTCATAAAGGTGCTGATTTGTATTATAAAATGTTGATTTGTTGTTAATGTCAAGTTGTTGGCAATATTTTTTCGATCAACGAATCTGAACGAAATTAGTTATCCTAAAATTGCTCATCTTGACGGCGGATTTTTGTGTTTCACTGATTTCTACGCGTAAAAAACGTGTCCAAAAAACTAATTAACCTAAAAGCTGTAGCTTTTGACCAATTAAATTGCTCAAGGTTACCGATATTGCCATCAATTTGGCTTTAACTACAAATTAACCGGACACCCCAATGATGCCTTAAATCTCAATCGCGTTTTTCTCATTAGGGGTTAACCTTGGATAAAAAATGATGAAAACAAAAATTGCTGAGAATGTAGTTTGGGATGTTCAAAATTATTTTCAGTTCTGTAGTTAAGCTTTTTTGGCTTGTGTATGCGAAGTGCAGTGCAATTTAGCGTCTGTCTCAAATTTTATATGTCATTTTATGTAATCGTTTGCCGGGTGAGAATTGTACCGTTGAATTTGTCTGACAGATCGTCATCTTTTTGTAGTAGTTTTTGAGCGATATTGCCACTACTTGTCTTCAATTTCGTAAATATATTTTTGTTGTTTACTAGGAGAGCCTACAAAAGTGGTGTTGAAAAAGCTGTCCTTCATTTCCCTAGATGACGATAAGCGCATAGAATTAGATCCAGGTGAGTCAAGTCTTGTGTGGTGACGTGGTTTCAATGATAAGCGATTTGTTGTCAGATATTTGTTTGAGCTGTTGTTTTAGTGATGATCATGAATGGTGAGAAAGTGCCTTCCTTCCGCATCAAAGAGGGTGTGAAGTACAAAATTGAATGCCAGTTTATTGTGAGTTCAGTTTTATTGTAGTTAACTCAGTTTCATTTACTTGCTGTTCAGGTGGAAAGTAACATCCGAGTTTGAGCTGGTCGGATCCAAAAATTGTCTGACTAAAATGCCTCGTTTTTAGAATAGAAAAACTGTTGAATGTGTCTGAGCAGATGAAATTCTGATTCAAAATTCTTCTAGTTGCTCTCGTTATAGGTTGAGAATGACATTGTGACTGGGTTGAACTACTTCCACAACGTGAAGAGGAAAGGAGTTCCATGTAATTACTATATCATATCGTTGTATCCAATTTTCTTTTGAACTGTAAGTTAACTCTTTTTGATTTTAGTTGGCGTGAAAGAGAGGCACATGATGGGTAGTTTTGGACCAAACGCGACTGAAGTCAAGACACAAACAATCTACGAAAACGAAATGCCTAAAGGTAAAACTTATTCATTGTAATTACAATCGCGAGCATTAGTATGACTCCATTCTATGACTTTTTTCCATCCAAACTCGCAAATTAAAGTGCTCATCTGGTGAAATTTTTCTAGTAGATAAACAAAACAGCTATGTATTGCATCGAGAAAATTTGTGTTCCAATTCGAGACACGAAGTGTCAAGATGTGAATAAGTTTCAAAATGCAACAGTAAGCTGTTGCTTATCTGGTTACACTAGCAATGCTTGTGTTATAGTATGAACCATCTTTTTTTCCAATCTAAGTCGCAAATATTGTTGCGATAAAATGTGTTCATTTCGAAAGTGTTCATTTTGATCAATAACCAGCTATTAAGTACAGCCAATGCTAAGGATTTTAACACAGACTATTAATGTTCCGACTTTCGTAACGAAAGTAAGGGAATATTTGTGCTCGGGGTGGTTTTTTTTCAAACAAACTTCGACTTTTAACTAGCCATTTTTGACGGGATTTTTTCTTATATCATTCAAAAATTGTTGTTGTCCTGAGCTTAAAATTGGAACGATACTTCAACTGTGATCATTTTCCGTAACGTTATGGGGGTTTAAAAATTCCCAATTTGGGACAATTAACGATGATTCACAAAAAATCTCAAATAAAAAAAAATCTTTTTTTTTTGTTACATTTATTTTTTCATGTTATTACTGCTCCATAGACTGCTCTATAAATTTAGGCATGTTAGTTGGTGAATTTTTTTTTCAAATGGACTGGTACTGCTAATGCGTTATTATTGGCGTGCGTCACTTATAAAATTTTGTAGTTTCAAAGTTTTACTCATTCAGTTTTTCACAAAAGCGTTATCGGTCATATTTTTATTTGTGTATGCGAAGTACAATTTCGCTTCTGTGTATAAAACATGTGAAAAACTGGTACATTTGAAATTTTTTAAAATATAATCCAACATATAAAGCGCGAAAAATTATTGTATAATGATTATCACTTTTCAAATACAGCTCGGAAACATATTGAACACAGGCGTTATATGCTATAATTTCGATCTGCATAATTGAAAGTTTCATAGCATTTTTCCTCTGCATCTTTATGGCTAGTGTCTGATGATTGTTAAGCGTCTTTGGCTGAGAGTTAAGGACTTGAGACTCCTAATCTTGAGGTCGCAGCTTCGAATCTGAGACATAGCAAAATTTTACTTATTCGAAGCTTATTTCTATTTTTGTTTTTGCAGCTTAGTCTCTTTCATCAGTACGCTAGCAAATTTCAGTGAGCGTTAGTGTTATATTACATCTATTCTTTTTTTAAAACCTCAGTCGCAAAAATTGGTGCCACTTTTCCGTCTCCTTTAAGTTTTTCTGGTAGCAAGTGTTTGACATTCGAATAGAAATAGATTAACACAGTTGATAAATTTTAATTTCATCAAATGAACCAGAAAAAAGCTATTTGTTTAAAACAAAACCATCAAAACTCAATTTCGAAAATATTCTTAGTCTTTATATCTTGCAATTTTTTTGAAATGCATAATTTATTGGTGGCTAGTATTTGCCGGCTGTTGAACTACTATGGCGCAAAAAGAAGGATGTGAGACTCCTGATCTACTTGTCGGAGGTTCAGTGCCGCACTTGGCACTTTTTTCAAATGTTTGCATTTTCACTGCACAGCATTGACAATTTATTAGCATCTTTAGCTGCTTTGTTGGTGGCTAGCCAAGTTCGAATTACCCGTAGCGCAGATGCGAGGACGTGAGAGTCGGAGGTTTGAATCTGCACACAGTAAAAGTTTTTTATTCAAGGCTTTTTCCACCTTTTCTTTTTTCACTTTTTATAGATGCGTTCCGTCGTTTTCTCGCTTATGTTGGCGAACTCTGTAGAGAACCGTAACAACTTCTAGTCTCCTTTTTTCTTGGTCTGGAGGTAACGCTGGAGCCTTTGGACCCTAAGATCTGGGGTTCCAGTCGCCGTGGGATTTTGTTTATAGTATGTATGAAATTGATTTTTTTCCGAGTAAAAATTGACTTGTCTGAGTTTCGTTTGTCTGCTTATGTTTTGTCAGCCTAGTTGTCATATCATAGATTTTTCTTGTGCTGCAGACAGTTTTCATTATAGTTGCAAGTTTGTAAATTCACTTACCATCATTATATGTTCCTTTTTTGCTTTTGCGCTAAACAGCTTAATTTACAAAAGTGTGTTTCGAATAAAAATTTCAGGTGGTGTAAAAAGATTAACTTAATCGCCAGATTTTCTTGGTGCTTTTTTCTGCTCAATAGGCGTCTACCCACCTATTGCCGAGTTAAAACAATTTTTGATTTCAATTCCAAGTATGTTTTTTAAAATAAGTTCCCGAACCGTGCTCATAAGGTTTCAAAAATTGAATTAAAAATGCGTTGTATAACCTGATTGTAAAAAGTAGCAAGTCGAGTAAATTTTTTCATCCCGTTTTTGCCATGTAATAAAAGCAAAAATTGAAGTTTCTAGGGAAATTTTTCGCTCTTGAATTTGATTTTTCACCGCTTGATTTTTGAATTTTTTGCTCTCTCCATTATCAACTGTGCAGATGGTGCGAAGACAAGACTTAGAGTTTCAAAAATGGGCCATTAATTTCAGAATTCCCATCGGAATGTTTTTTTTTAATTTTGACCCACTTTTCTCTAGTTTTCTCTAAGTTGTATGAAAAAATTCATTTAGTTAAAAGATAATTTAAGTTAATGGAGCTCTAATGTAATGTGATATTTTTCTCAGATTTTTTTTGGGGGGAGGGGGCTGAATTTTGAATGCTTTCAAATGTGTTTTTTAGTGAATTAAAAACGGAATAGAAAAAAAGATGCCCTTGAATAATCTAATGAAAGTGGTCCGAAAATCGGACCATGATTCTAAGTTATAAATGTAGATTTTAATTGTCTGATAGAATAAATAAACTGTCCATCGGAATATACGGTTTTAAAAATTTAAAAATCTAATTTTATAAGTTAAGAAAAAGTAAAAGTTTATTGAAATTCTAATAGTTTGAAGGTGATAGGTATAGTTTTTTTTGAAGGTGTTTTTGATTTTTTTTCTGTTTTTCGAATTCGTTAACGCTTTACCAATTGTCTATCGACTATGTTCCAGTTAATTGTTTTTGTTGTTCTTTATCCATTTTATGTATTTATAGTTAAGAGTAATGAACTTAGTGAGTACTCTTTTTTTTAGGTCGTGGTGATTTTTTTTTTCATTTTGTTTCATGAAAAAGTCTTAAAATTTGTTTAGGCTCAAATTCACTTTTTCTTATGAGTGCTTTTAAGCTCACTTCATTTCCTTTATTTACACTTGCGAAGCAAAGTGTATTAGTACGAACTTTCTTTTTTTTTGCCAACCTAAGTAGCAAATTTTGGTGCCACTTTTGGGGCATCTTTACAACTTATTGATAGCATGTGCTTTGACATTCGAATAGTAGTAAGTTAACACAGTTGTTGCATTTTTAATTCATCAAATGAACCGAAAAAAGCTATTTGTTTCAAACAACATAATAATCATAAAAACTCGATTTCAGAAGTTTTCTAACTCCATATCTCGCAGTTTTTTGAAATGGGTAATTTATAAATAATATGGCTTTATTCTTTGCGATTTATTACATGCATAATTGTGTATTTTTCTATTTAGTGCTACTTTTGCTGCACCAAATTGGCACTTTTTAGCACATGTAGCTGCGTTATTGCTGGCTAAATTTTTGGGAATTTAAGCATCCGTGGTTAGTGCGTGAGACTCAAATTTGGTAGGTCGCAGATTCGAATTGGACACGTAGCCGAGTTTTTTCTAAATCGAGGCTTATTTCTACTTTTTTAATGTCACTTGATAGAGCTTCTTTTTGGTCGTGTTCTCGCAAGAGTTTGCGAAGCGCAGCTTCGCCTCTTTGCAAAAGTTAAAAGGAAGGCAAACTCCACTATCGAACAACAAAAGTGTAAAAGGTCGTGAAAAACGTAATCGACTTAGTTTCGAGATAGGAATTGTATTTTCAGATTTCCCAGCAGAATAAAAAATTTACCCATTGATCCACTTTTCTCAAACTGGGTTAATTAAGTTCTACAAATTCAAAGAGCTTTAAGGGCATCTATTTTATTAATTTAAAATTCGAATGTTGAGATTTCAAGAAATAAGTCATTGACTTTTTTCCAACTGTCAGTTGCTTATAATTTAGATTTTTTAAATTGTCTTTTGGTTATGTTGTAATATAAAAGATTCGATTATTTGACTTTTTGCCTATAGCTTTTCAAAATTTTGTTCAGGTATGGTTGCGAGAGGCCACTACTCTGTGTCGAGTCAGTTCGCAGACGACGACAAGAATGTTTATCTTAAGTGGGACTGGTCTTTCGACCTCTCCAAGGGCTGGGATTCTGACAAGGAGTAGAAGGCGACTGTTCGACTATGTTGATCCAATAAGACCAATTTTACAGCTGCCTTACAATTCAATTCATGCCATGTGTCTGCTAAGTCTAAAATAACACATTCTTGAGACTAGTCCAGGGATTTAGGTTCTTTGGTAATACTCGTCTAAATTAGTCGTGTTTGGCTGCATAAATGCCTATTGCAAAAAGATCAAATTTCCTGATCCTACCCATGTTTACTCAAAAGTTTTTTGGGTTGTTTCATCGACAAGAACCAAATATTCATCAGTGATCGGATGAACCTACGAGCGATCATGTCAAGTCTAATAGTTGACTGGGAAAAATTTGACGTTGGTAGCAAGAATGGGTTATCTATAACTGCTGGATATTCTAAATCAATCAATCGTAAATTTGTGGCATTTATCGTGGATTATTTGAGACCCTCTAAAATTTGCTTTTGTTCACGCTTGATTTCTTCAGTCTCTAAATTATCATCTGGTTTTTAAAGATTGTCCATAATGCCTTATTATTATGAGCGACATGTATTGAGTAACAGTTTTTGTTTTTAATCATTCATCTAGCCATAAAAAATTGAAGAATTATTACCGGTGATGTTTTGATTGCTATTTGACGCCACTACTCTGGTGTGTATTCAATCGGCTAAGCAAAGAAACTAAACCATTTTATCAAGTTGGCTGAAATCAAATGGTCCTAGTTTGATTCTGACCAAATATAATGCTAAACATGCAGAGTTAAACTAATATGACTTACAGCGAATCAATAAACAAATTTTGTGATGTTGTGAGTTAGTTTGATGAATGAATTTATTCTACATTGGGGTTCTACTAAACTATGCATGTTTGAATTGTATGGCTGATTGGTGGTTTGGATGTTTTGAATAGTAGGCTGATTTGATCTTATTTAAAATTCTTCCCAAATATGAATGAGTTCTCTTTCCATGCCACTGATATTTCCCGCTTTCTTGTCTTGCCAATGATTGAACTTTTTACCTTAAACTTTACTCTCATGGTCAAAATTAAAAATTTCGTTTTGTCATGATCAAAATTTTTTTTTCATTCATTTTAAATCATGGGAGTAAAAGTTTTTCCTGTCACGCTGCTTCCTTTAATGTTGTAAATACAAAAGTTCTTGGTTATCTATTTTGATGGGTTTGATTAAAAAAGAATATTAATGTGACACGTGAATTGAGTATTAGGCTGATGATGACGTCTGCAGTTTGACAATAACCATGCACACATTTTAATTTATACATATTTTCATACATTTAAAGTAAATAAAGTTTATTCTCTCAAATAACACGTTATTTTCAACCAATTAAGCTTGCATATGTTTGCGTAAAAGATAATTGATAGCTAAAGCTTGTTTTCTACTCTTTATGTTGACGTAATGGTCTCCCATCTATGTAGATGCTCAACTAAGCGTCATTTTGGTTTCTTTTCAATAAATTAAGAAACCTTAACGAAGAACGTAAGACTCTTGTATAGCTCGTGATGATTTTTTTGTTTTTATTCAAGAAAACTTTTAAAATTGTTCAGGGTCAAATTTGATTTTTCACACTTCGACTTCTGATTTTTTGTTACGTTCACTTCATTTTCTTTTGTTTAGTAGGAAGACAAACTCCACTATCGAACAGCAAAAAAGTAATATGCACGAAAAACGTGATCGACTCCTAGTTTCGAAAGTGGATATTAATTTTCAGATTTCCCAGCAGAAAAAAAACTTAATTAAGAGTACTGAATGTACATGGAGATTTTTTTTCAGGAAAAATGCTCTAATAATTTCAGAAGTGCATTCATACATATTAATATATTTTTGAATGCACTTTATATATGCACTTTTTGAGTTCAATGGAAATTCATCTGCTGAACGTTTCGTTAATAGCACTCCAAATGCGAACGTGGAAATTGCGCGAAAAAAAAACGTGAGCGATTTCAAGTTTCGAAAGTGGAATTTAGTTTTTAGATTTCTCAGCGGAATAAAATTCTTATCTATCGATCCTGTTTTCTCAAGTTGGATTAATTTTATCAAATAAGCGACAACCATAAATTGTTTTTGAAATTCCAAGGACATATATTTTTTTTAAGTTCAAAAGTTGAGGTTTTTTCAAAAAAACAAGTTTGTTTGTTTCCTTGCGTTCATTACTCTTTTCCAAAGTCAGTTTGCTAAGTTCCGATAATCCAGTTTTTTTCAAATTGGAATATTTTAATAAAAATATGCCAATCATTAAAATTTTTTGAAAATTAAGAGATTTAAGTCCATATATTTTTATTTAAAAATTCGAAAATTGAATTTATTCCTGAAATCAAGTTTGTGTTTTTTCTGTTTCCCTGCGTTTTTTTCCTATTGTCTGTTGGCTATGTTTTTTTCGGAAATTCGTGTAATAAGTAAATTCTGACATCATGTTTTTCCAATAACACCAAAACGAAAGAACTTTCCATTGAATAAATTGGTGAGAAAAAATTATATATAATAATCGACGAGGCGGTTCAGGAGCACTGTCCAGATTTGTCTTTTCTGATCATCAAGACCCCTTCTATAAAAAATACTTTCACAAACGCAGCTTGTGTTTTTAGGTGTTAATAATTGAAATTAATTATCACTCATCTAGTTCTTATGGATTTTTTCAAGGAAAAGTGTTAGTCTTAATTTTACTTTACTTAACGGTTTGTTTTTAGATCTCTTTATAGGCTGACATAGCGTTCAATTAAAAAAGTAGCAAAAAAATTTTCTTTCGAATTACAAAGTTATAGGGTTGGAAAACACACTCGACTTTTAGTTTTAAGTGGATTTTATTTCGTTGTTTGACTAAAAAATTTATTCACAGATCCAGTTTTCTTGAATTGGGATTGCTTCATCAAAAAGTTTTTCGTTAAAGAATAGACAAATTTCAAGAGGCTCCTAATTGGAAAAATATTCTACTTTTTTTGCTTTCCCTCTATTATTTTCTACTGTGTGCCCATTCTACTGTGTGCCCGCATAATCCACTTGTCTCTTTCTACATTACACCATTTTCTACAGCCTTTTTTCCATTTTCTGGGAAACTACCCTTTCAAATCTGCGAGTTTGGGTTCAATGGATAGAATGAGTTGTGAGACGCTTCCGTGCATAAGCGGCTAAACCCAATTTTTTTTACACGAAATGCTATGTCCTTCGGAAAACAAAATTGTGAACAACCAACGCAAATCTGAGTTTTGGCTTCAGCAGAGAGACCGGGTTATTATAAGCTCCCCTGCATTAGTGGCCAAGCTCAAATTTTTTCCACGAAAACTAAAGGTCCTTGGAGAAATCAATTTTTAGATTATTTGAACGTTTTTTGAAACTTCTTGACTTTTCCAAAAAATACCCTTCCAAATCTGATATTTTGGATTCAATGGAGAAAAAGAATTTTGGGAAGCTCCCCGGCATTAGTGCCTGCGCTCAATTTTTTAGCAAAAGTTAAGGATCCTCAGAAAAGTCAAATATTAGATTATTTGACTGTTTTTGAAACTTTTTGAATTTTCTCGAAAACTATCCTCCCAAATTGAGATTATGGATTCAGTCCAAAGAGAGTTGAGAAAAGCTTTCCTGAAGAAACGACGATGTCCAAATTTGTTGTGGCCTTCAGAAAAGTCAATGTTTCGGTTATCTTGTGAGGGTATCATGGGTTTACACGAGGCGCAGGTTGTGGGAAGCCTCTGAGCATAAATGTCATAAAATTTGTTCAAACAAAGTTATATCTTAAAAAATTTCTAATTTCTCAAAAAATGTCATTTATTTTCACAGAAATAACTAAGGTTTTTGGTGAAGCCCATTTTTGAAATTATGTAATTCATCCCGCGTCAGTTCAACAAAATAAAAATTTATCAAATAGCTGCTACCGCCATTAGCTTGGCCCTAGTTTGATGCAAACGTGTATTATGAAAATGTATGGGATTTGGTTTTTTGTTTTTGCTTTTTTTCTACTCTCTCAAAAAGTTTTTTCTTAAAAAAAGGAAACTACGTTTTTGCTTTGCAAACAGGTAATACCAATGGAAGGCCGCTCACTCCTGTGTGCCTGCGTAAACGGCTAGTCTCTTTTTACCGTACATATTTTCTCCGGCCTTCACTTAGGTCTGTGGGGGTAACTTATGAGCCATTTTTTAAATTAAAAACTTGGGTTCAATGAATAGAATATAATCTTAACCTGTCACACTAATTTCCCCCCCCCCCCCCCCCCCCAAAAGTTATGGCCCTCGGAAATCAAATTTTCGATTTTGACAGATTTTTAACGATGTTTGTCCTGTCTCGAAAACTGCCTACCTAATTTGAGATTTTGGGTTCAACCAAAAGAATGAGATGTGAGGAGCTCGCCCTTTGCATAATCGGCTTCCCCCAAGTTTTTCAACAAAAAATAATGGTCCTCATAAAATTCATTTTTTTTTGTTTTTTGACCGTTTTTTTTTGAAGCAAAAAAATCCCCTCCCAAATCTGAGAGTTTGGGTTCAATAAAAAACAGATCATAAAAGCTCCTCTATATTAGCAGCTACGTCCAATTTTTCTTACAAAAAGTGATAGCCCTCAGAAAAGTCAATGTATTGATTTCTTGTCCGTTGTTTGAAACTTATTGACTTTCCTTTTCTCGAAAAAAACGCAACCGAGTCATGATATCAAGGGTTTAATTGAGGCATGACATGAAGTGTGGATAGCCTCCGTGCATATGCGGCTACGCTTTAAAATTTGTAAGAAAAATGTTTGTTCTGAGAAATTACACTATTACTTATTTTAATAGAGAAATAACTTTCAAAAAGGTTTCTGTATTTTGAGTTTACCCGTTTCTCCCTGCATCAGTACTCCAAATTCGGAGAAAATAAAGAGGTACTTTCAGTTTTAGATGGGCTTCTAGCTTTAAGTTGAAAATTGTTCTGTAGTTTGTAAGTTTAACAGAATATTTATTTTCGGTTACACGGTTTCGGTTTATTGTTATATCGGCTTAGTTCACTTGTCTTGCTTAGTTTCACAGGCGAGTTTTTTAACGTATTTATGCCTGTTTCAGGAGGGATGGTCGTAGAAATTCTGAAAAAATTTTATAGTTTCGGCTGAACGAGGGTGGACCCAAGTTTTTCGCCTTGTTTGCCGCTCGATCATTGATTCTCAAAGATTGGTAAGGCTAATTATGAGCTTCGTTCAGGTCATAGGTGTAAAGTTTTTGTAGATAAAGTTTTACAAAATTCAATTAATTTTTTCTGCTATGTTTCAAATAAGTACTACTTGTGATGCAGTGTTTTAATTGTACCGCAAGTGTTGCAAAGCACCACTGCGACGGGGTACTATACTTTCTCCGTAATTAACTGTGTTCACAGGTTTCAGTACGTGAAGTTGTGAAGTTTTGACGCGTCATATGACTTCATATGCAGCCGATTACTCTCGTGATGCGCTCTCCTGATACCACAGCAGTTTATCAGAAGTTTGTTTTTATTTATAGCGAAATGCCTTCCAAAAGTTTCAAATTACCCTTCTTCGTCCTTGTCACCATCCCATTTTCTTCCCTTCATAATTTAAATTGAACTATTTGAAAGTTTCATAGCTTCAATAGCTTGCTTAGAAAAACTCAAGCTTTTCGCGAACCGTTTTGGTCAACGAAATAATTTGAAATTCTTCAAAGTGTGATTTTCTACTTCGACTCTTATTTTGTTCATTGGCTAGTTTCTGGCCATCGTTTTGATCAGTGTTGACCGAAAAATTCTGTAAAGTTGATATAGTGTGTAGATTGAAAACTGTATTTTCTTAGAAAATCAGAAAAAAGTTTGCCTCAAATTGTTTTAGCTAGTCATTCATTTTCTTTAAATTATGTTGTGACTGTCTTAATCGATAAACATCTTAAAATGTGGCGACTGTTTAGGTTTTCAACTTTCGTATTGTTATCGGCCTTTTGGTTTGGCATTTTTCGAATTTTTTTCCAGCTTATCTGATGTATGTTTTTACAAAAGTAACACTTGATTGAAAACAACTGAGAAAAGACACGAATAAAAAATAATTCATTTGTTTGGATTAAAAGGGTTATTACACTAGAAAGCTAGTGATTGGAGTGTATGAGTATCATTTTACTTTTTTTCGAACTAACTCGCCAATAAAAGTCCTCACTGGTTGTTTTTTGCTATTATCACCTCTAGCATTGGAAATTTCATAGCATAACATATAGTATGTTCTCTGCTTTATTTGTGGCTAAGGTTTGTCGATCATTAAGCATTCGTGGCCGAGAGGGAAGGGCGAGGGACTGAAAATCCTCTTTTTCCTTTCCTTTCTCTTTTTCCTTTCCTTTCTCTTTTTCCTTTTCCCCGCCTGCAAATTTTAACAAGTTGATTTGTTGACCGCATTGTCCAATTGTTATGGAAATTAGGCCACGACAAACATATTTGGTCTTCATAATCAACCTCGTAAAACCATTCGTTACATTAAAAATTTGAAGCTCGTGTGAGGTGGGGAAAGGAAAAAGAGCTATTTCCCCCAATATCACACGAACATGATTTTTATGGTGTAACGAGTGGTTTTACAAGGTCAATTATGAAGACCAAATATGTTTGTCATAACCTAATTAGCCCGTATGTCAATTCTTATAACAATATGAACAAAATTTTAACTTGTAAAATTTTGAAGGTGAGGGGGAAAAGGAAAAAGATCCTTACAAGCAAAATTCTGTGTGAACAATTTTTGAAGAGCTTTACTTTTTAATTTTTACTTGGGAGTGGGAAACTGGAAAAAAGCCGATTTAAGATGATACGAGCTTTTTTTGTGCTAAAAGGGATTTAATATGGTACGATATTTGACCCTCCTAGAGGTAGTCAAAGTCGACTAGCACTCCTAGAGGTAGTCAAAGTCAGCATGAAAAAAGCACCCTATTCCATAGTTCTTTATTTTGTTAACTAAGAAGAGTATCTGTCTAACAAAAAAGGATAATCTGTCTAATTCACAATCGATATACCACAATTGCTAGAAGAAATAGCTTAGATGAAATAGCGAGTATGCGCAACGAGTTGTGGGTCACTTTAAATACCCGGCTCTTTTTCCTCTTCTCCCACCTCACCCGACCATCAATTTTATGGTGTAACGAGTAATTTTACAAGGTTAATTATGGACACCAAATATGTTTGGCACAGCTGAATCAGTCCGCATGTCAATTTCCATAACGATCGGACAATGTGAACAGTCCCTTTGCAAGTAAAAAATTTTTGCAAAAGGAAAAAGCCAAATACCCCAACTCAGTGACGGATTTAGAGGGGATGGGGTGGGTTCGGGGTCCCCCCCCCCCACCCCGCAATCCTCAGGGATTCGTCTCTTTTTCAATTTCCCCCGCCTCACAGAAGCATCAATTTTTTGGTCTTTCGAGTGGTTTTACAAGGTTGATTATGAAGATCTAATATGCTTGTCATTGCCCAATTAGTCTGCATGTCAATTTTCATGACAATCGGACTATGTGAACAGTAATTTTAATTATAAAAACTTGCAGGTGGGGGGAGGAGAAAAAAGAGCCAGGGATTCGACCCCTTCACCAACCAAAGGGTGGCCCCTTTGGTATTATTTTATGTGATCCATTTTAGGCCGACCGACTTTTTTCCAGTTTCCCACCCCCTTGGAAAGTTACGAAACTAAACTGTTTGGGAATTGATCACGCGGCATTTTCCATGAAGAAATGTAAAAATTTGTTCACGCTGACACGTTTTAATGCAGTTTGTATTGAGAAAAGTCATTTCAAATTGACTTCCATATATTGAATTTCAGAAAAAAAAATCAAAGGGAGGGAATTGGAAAAGATCCGGCTGACCAACCCTAAAATTTTTCTAAAGGCGTCTTACGCGCTAATATAAACTAATTTTGAAGGGGAGCGTGCGCCGAAAAAAAACCATTTTTTGGCTCGTTTTCCTTTCCCCCCCCCCCACCTGCAAATTTTTCAATTTGAATTTACTGTTCACTTTGTCCGATTGTCATGAAAACTGACATGCAGACTGATTAGGTTATAACAAACATATTTGGTCTTCATAATTAACCCTGTAAAACCACTCGCTAGACTATAAAATTCATGTTTGTGTGAGGTGGGGGGGAAAAGGAAAAAGAGCCCATTTTTTTTTAATCTTAAGTTTTTCAAAAAGTGCCCGAAAACGGCAATTTTGACCTGTTTTTTCAAAAAATTGCGTGCGACCTGAAATTTTTGGTCAAAATAATGTCTCCATAGTGTTCTGGGAGCGCATGGAAAATCAATTTGGTTGGTTTAAAAAAATCGGCAAATTTTTTGAAATCCGATCCCCCCTCGAGAAAATCCTAGATCGGCTCCTGGCCCTACTGAATTAACCCGAAATGGTTCAATTTATTCTTTTCATGAAAAAAGCTCATGGAAGAAGTCATAAGTCAAATTAAACTTTTAAAAAGAAATAATTGGCGGCATTTCACACGATAGTCATTTTTATCGATTTTTATGCGCTCTTAGTAATAAAGTCGAAAAAAGTTATGGTAAGTTATTGATTTAGATTTTTTAAATTTGATGTAAATTTTGTTTCATGATTTTGTATTTCAGCTTTCAATAGTAGCTCAAGTTTGTGCGTTGGTTGCGCTGACAGTTTTTGAGACCAACGCTGCGCAGTTGAGAAATTTTTTTGAAGTGCGAGGCAAATCAATTAGGCCGCAAGAGTTGATAAGACAAGATAATGCAGAAGCTATGCAAGACCACGAAGTCGAAAACATTGCCCAGTCAGCCGTTAAAGCAGCGAGGGAACTGGCTCTGAGTTTGAGCAGACGAGGAGTTGATGTGGACGATGAAGCAGATACGATGGGGTTCCACTTGGAAGAACGTCGGGAAAAACCGTAGGACGATCACGCGTCAAGGATGATAAAAAGAGTAGACAGTAAAAAGAGGGATGTGAACTACAAGTCTAAAGAGAATGCGGCTCCACAAGGTTTCTACGTCATTCCAGGGCCAGCTAGTGGAATTCCAGCCGTAGTGCCTCCGGCAAGCGCAAGTCCAGGAGGTAGTCCGGATAGCAAAAACGTGCTCGAACATGTGAGAGATCAAGTGAAAGACGCGAATGCGGCAATGGGGGAAATCACAGACCTGCTGAAAGTGATGACAGGGAGTAATTTCCCCTCTAACCCAACGGGGAATCTGACTAGTCATGGGAAGAAGTCGGGAGTTGTGAGCAACTTGATCTTCGGGGATCATAATAATAATAACAACAACAACGAGAACCCTTTTTGGGGATAAATTAAAGGAGATTTATGATGGACAACCAAGTTCGATGTGAAAAGTATGAATTTTTGATAATTGAATTAAGTCTACTAAGATAAAGACGTTTCCCCTGTTGGTCCCATCAAACTGTTGGTTCCATAAAATTCCTAGTGGTCCCAGAGATAAGTCAGAGTTAACTCGCGAAATTAGATACCATAGTAACAACGATAGGTGGCAGCAATGCAAGCAGGACTAAAGGTCTGACTAGTCCCAAAATGTAGTAATTTTATTGTTAACAAAGTGTTTCTGTTCCGACCATGGAAAATGTAGAGGAACTTTGTATTCGGGTGTGTATAAGTTTTTTCTTTTTGTTTATGCAAAATCAGGGCTCTTTTCCAGTCCCCCCCCTTTTAAAATAACGAGTTTTATATTTATTTTACGTGTTATTACGGCTAAATGCGTGAAGTTACGCTGTAAAGTATGAAGAACAAATCTGTTCAGAATTGTCGATTTGTTCACCACGCCAAATTTCATTGCATTGTTAAATAGACTTTTCAAAATTGAGTTTGAAAGGGGGGGGGGGGAACTGGAAAAGAGCCAAAATCAGGTATCACAAACATAACTGAAACTGGCTCTTTTCCAGTTTCCCCCCCACCTTTCAAATTCAATTTTGAAAAGCTTATTTAACGTTGTCATAATGCAATGAAATTTGGCGTGGTGAACAAATCCACAATTCTGAACAGATTTGTTCTTCATACTTAACAGCGTAACATCACGCATTTAGCCGTAATAACACGTAAAACAAACATAAAACTCGGTAATTTGAAAGGGGGGGGGAAACTGGAAAAGAGCCCTGAAACTTTTTTCAGTGTCGAGAAAAACCGGTCTGAAATTTTTGAATTTTGGTCTAATTTTGAGCTAATAAGGGGACCGTCTAGGCTTACAATAGCTTATTTAAGCTTAATTTCAGCCGTGAAAACTTAGTTATACTCAAGTAAAGGTAGTTTTTGGAGTTTTTCAGCTCATTTTTGGGAATCAAAAACTTGAAAATGCGAATTTTTTCCCGTTTTTCTGGTCATTTTTCAAAAACTTTTTTCCAATTGACCTATTTTACTATGACTCTCACATATGCCGAAATTCTGTTTTTTTAGTTCGTGTGCCTTTTTTGTGCATGTTGTGATAAAAAGATCTGAACGAAAAAATAGAATTTTAGGCATATTTGAGTAAAAACATGAAAAAAGTAAATGTAAAAAAATTCAAGTTGGTGGTTGAAAGAAGCTTATTGGCCATAATTGATTTGTTACAATGAGCGAAATCTATCCTTTTGTACTTTATATGGCGTGTAGGGGATGATTTTCATTTAAAATTTCAAATTTTAGAAAGAATTTTTAAAATTTTTTTACTTATACTTTTTTCATGTTTTTAATGCTCCATAAATCTTAAAAGGCAGTCGGAACATTCAGGAATTCGCCCTGATACGAGCAGTCTTGTTTCGTATATAGATTTCATTGTCGTCTTATGAGGACTTTGGACTAGACGCCCGTTTATGGTGCTTCTGAAAAGCGTTTCCAGAAAATTATTCATGTAATTCAGAATAAATGTTAGGTTATTTATTTAGTGAACTGGGCAAAGTGTTGCGTGTTTAAACTATGAGGCTACGAATCATTTTGGTTCGAATTTCCAATTTTGTCATGTTTTTGCATGGTCAGTTTTTTACTCATACATTTATGCTTCTGTGTTTGTAGTAAGCAAGCGGTGCAGACTTAGGTTTTTTGCCTCATAACAAGGAGTAGTTGCAAAAACAGTGCTTGCAGACGAAGCGAGATATGTGAACCTTGGATACTCCTGGTTACGTTACGAAGAAGGGTATTTTGTATTGTGTCAGCTAGCACCTGTAACGGACGCATTAGAAAAGGAAACTGTCACTGATAGATTGTACGATGTGCATGGATGCTCTGATTGAACAGGCGAGGCGTTTCGAGAATCGCTCCGCATGATGAACTATCTCGACTTATGCTCGAAAGTTAAAACAGTTTAAGTTTTTTTTAATCCATTCCAACACTTATTTTTTCATGTTAATCAACCTAACACATCGTTCGAATATTTAAGGTAAAACGGGTTTGGATTTGCTAGAAATCTTGCTCTGAAAATTATTTGTAAAAATAAATTTGAAAGATTTCATCTAACTAGAAGACGTTTCAGAATCACAATGAAAAAGTTACATTTCACCACAAATGGAACTTTTTTATTGACCAGGGCATTGGTTGTTGTAATTGGCTTTTTTCTGTCACATTTGCTAGTGATCAATTGTGTTGTTGTTTGTCTTAACGGGTTTTTAGGGTTTTTTCACTACTTCGGACCCATGACTTACTAGTTTTTATTTAGTTCTTAGAAAAATAATCTCTTCTTGTTTTAACTTCAGATCAAGACATGAACTGATCAAGGCATGGCTTCGGATTTGAAACCATTTCTTTCGTTCGAAGAAATAGCTAGCTTTCATCTAAAAGATGGCATTGAAAGTCTTCCGAGTAATCCTCCAAATATTAAAGATACATCGAGGATAAAAGCGGAACCCTGTGCCTTAGAAAGGGAACTCAGAGAACCTGAATGGCATTCAAATATTGAAATAAAAATTGAACCTAACAATTATGAAGCAGAATTAGAATCACCTGTAAAAAACATCGATATCATGCAATCAAACATTGAAAGAAAAATAGAACTTATCTATTATGAAGCTGAAATAGAACCACCTGTAAACAATATTGATATCATGCATTCAAGTATTGAAATAAAAATAGAACATAATGATTATGAATCAGAGTTGGAACCATCTGTCAACAATATCAATATCGTGGAAGAATATATTTCTGAGAATGAAAAAGTGAAAATTAAAGCTGAATATTTAGAGGCCGAGTCATTTCAGATAAAAGAAGAGCCAGTAGATTATGGTGATTATAGCTTTGATTGTTCGACAAATTTGCAAAGATCGAAACCTCGAGTTGTTTCCAGATTACCAAGTTTACCAAACAGATTGCCAACTTTGTTAAGTGTTACGAAGAATGGTTCGTCTGTGGTTAAAAAACCGAAAAGAGAAATTCCGAAACGAGAAAAACCGAGGATGAGACGCTGCGCTGATAAACGATTTTTTGTGATGTGCGATTTTTGTGGTTCAAAATGCTACACTATAGAATCGCATCGATTACACATGAGAGCAAAACATAGCGCTATTTTTCAAAATCCTCCTGCCAAATGTGATTTGTGTGGGTTTATAGCTCAATGTGACGTAACAATTCAGTTTCACGCGTCAGTGGCGCACATGGACGACGAAGACGATAGATGATTGGGTCAGCACAGTGCTTCGTGATTTGATGTGGAAAATGTGCTTTAGTTTTTTAATTATATCGTGGGAGCCATTTTTTCTGATGGTCTCAAATTTAGATTAAAAGTCGAGATTTTTGCTTCGTTGTATGATTGACCAGAGGATTGGTTGTTATTATTGGTTTCCTTTTATCGCACTTGAGATGATATTGCAGGGTTTTTGTAAAGTTTTGTATTGAAAAAATTGAAGAAAATTACTGTTTTTGTTTCATGGATCTACTTTATACTCTCCGTGTTCGGATTTTGTGGAGTTATAAGGAATAGACATATAATATTCTGAGGTTATGCGATAAGTTATAGGAGTTTGACTTCATATGATTTCTTACATAGACTCTATATTATGAGAGGTCGGTTGTACTTGTTATTTTATTAGCAGATGAGCTATCCCTGATGGAAATTTAGTTGCAGATCGCGTAGGTTGATGTTCATTTCGTCAGGATTTAGTAGAAGTTTTCGTTCAGCTTCCTATTTTATTTGGCAGGAAAACGTGAATATTTCTTGCGTATGAGTTAATCCTATCAACTTGGTTTTTTAGATGGTTTCAAGATAAATATAAAGCTTGTTTAAAATTTAGGTTTTATTTGAACTGATCAAGGCATGGCTTCCAATTTGAGAGCATTTCATGCGTATGAAAAAATTGAAAATTTTCAATGCCGAATTTTCAGGGTAGTTCTCAATCAACAAACCAAACATTACTGATAAAACTGGAAATGGAAAACAAATAATCTGTAGATATAGATTCTGAATCGCATTCACATGTTAAAATGAAATGATTAAATACGAGAATATCAATTCGAGATTTATCAAAATCTTCCGATCGTTTGTGCTTTGTGTTGATTTACAGCTGAATGTGACGTAAGTTTTAAGTTTTCACGTGTCGGTGGCTAACCGACATTAAAGAAAACATGTGATAGTGTCAGTGCTGTGCACCGCGATGTCAGGTGAAAATGCTATTTTAAATTTTCGGTATCAATTATGACATGGATGATCTTTTTGGTTTTTTTGTTGCAGAAATTAATTTAGACAAAAGGTTATACAAATATATGAGGGTAACATTAAAAACAAACATGGTCGTTTCCATGGACGTTGCTCTCAGTAAGGAGACGATGCTGCTTGTCGCGTTCCGTATTTGTCGCGTTCCGTATTTGTCGTGTTACGTATTTGTCGCGTTCCATTTCTCAAAATTTTTTTAGTATTGAGAAAAACTAGTATGAATGTTTTGCTATTTCGACTCAAAATTAGCAAAGAACGAACAAAATTTGGCCGCTTCATTTCAACTATTTTCCCATAACTACAGATGCGGGTTGATTAATTTGCTCTAAAGGGTATTATAGTCATTAGATGTATCATCCTAATTTGCAAAAGACCTAAATATATATTTTTTAAGTTTTTGTATTGCAATGATAACTGTCAAAGATTTTATGCTACTTGCACTGCACCCGGCTGCGCTTTTTTAATTGAAGACATGAACATGCTACTCTCTGCTCTTTTCTTGCGTCTGTTCAATTGCTGCTAGTTTGCTTACTAAAGTGAGCTTGGAAGCGCAGTGTTATATGATCAGTCACTTTTCTAACCGAACTCGCTCATTTTAATGCAATTTTTGTCATGATGTTTATCCTGGAGGTGCAGATTACTGACCGAGGCTATGTGCGAATGTACGAGGGCTGGATTGTCGACTGATGTCATTGCTGGAGTGTGAGTGTCCATGTGGAATTGAATTGTCGCCGATGTCACGTGGAGTGTTCGTTGATCTAACTTTTACTTTGAAGCGCGCAATGTTTGTCCAAATGTGTCAATGGGGTGCTGCACTGTTGAATATTTGTTGCTGGCGTGCTCTGGTAGTCACTGGTTATGTTGCTTAGTGGGTCGTATTTGCTGCTGCCGAGTTGTCACGTGTTGCATCTAAAATGACGAAGTGTTTCATTGGATCTGTTGATATAGCGTCCTCTGATAAATGTGTACCAGACATGTGGTAGCTTTTTCCAATCCCTTGAAGATTGGTTTCAACTCTGTATAGATCTAACTTGAGAAGGCCAGGGAATCTAGCTTAAATATTAAGCTGCATACATAGTGCAGTGCTGATTTTGATATTTGGACTGGATGAAGCGTTGGTTTTGAAAATTCACCTGAAAATGATATCAAGTATCGGTCGCTTTTTTATCTAAGTTCAGATGTGACACGTCTTTTTTTTCACTGATATCATTTGCCCAGCTGACTCGATTGCCCAGTTCGCGGTCTGCAATAATGGATTTGTCGGTCTCCTCAAAGAATGCGAATAAGCAATCAACGTGCAGTAAAGTCTGTCCAATTGCTAGATTGCTATCTGATTTTGATTGGACTTGGGAAACATTACTTTCATTTATTTGAGGTCAACTTGGTCCTATTCTAAATGTTCTGTTTTTTCGTTGCAGAGGTTAATTTAGCGCTCGTGGACTAAATCCCCCAGGATAAAATCCCACCGGATATTATCCCCCAGGACTAAATCCCCCATAGGACCAAATCCCCCTAGGACAAAATCCCCCATATTTTATTCAGTATAATGGAAATCAAATTGTACACATTATATAATTTCATAATTCTATTGATTCCATTTTGAATTGACTTCCATTTAAACATGCATCGCCACTTTGACGTGACTTTTCAGACCCCTAGGACCACGGATAGTTGATTTTGGGGGGTCCGAAATTTGATCATAATTTCGAACTTAATTTAACGTTAATTTATGTTGACTGATAAACAAATTAACACCCGATATAGTCCCAGCAAAACGATTAGTGTAACAGGTGTGACACCAGTTTGCGTGGTCGCAATTTAATCCCCCCATTAGCAATTAAACGTTTGCCTTTTGACGCAATTTTTGTTCAGTTTGTAAAACACGTGCATTTTATTAAGTACCGACTCATTCGAAACAATTACAATGCAAAATAACAAAGTCAAATTTGTGTTAAGCAACAAAGGGGGCCAGAAAGCGCTTCACAATATCTACGCTTACTATAAGAAAAGGAGTTAGTGAATTCTATTCAGTAGAAGTGCGAGTTGCGGCGATCAAAGCAACAATGTAAGGCAAGCATATGGACTTCAAAGGTCGAATTCCTCAAATCGTCGCCACATACATGAGCACACACACGGCCCGGACTATGCCTTAATGGAAACTTATACCATTAACGAACAGATCAAAGCGGACGAAGCGGCCTGCACCGGTTCTTCGACACAAAAGGTGCTGTCAAATGCCCTGGCGAAAGCCACACGAGAATGCTCCTCAAAGATGCCGGTGGTGCCTCACCTCAAACGAAAAATCCGACATGAAAACCGTAGCCAGCCACCGACCCCAACAGGATTCGATTTTGAACTGCCTGTTAAATACATGCAAGCCATGAGTGGAGAAGATTTTCTTCTTGAAGATTCGAAAGTTTCGGGAACCGGTAAACGATGTTTGGTGTTGGCAACCAACAAAAATATCGAAATCTTAAACTCTTATGGAAACTGGTTTATTGATGGATCCTTTAAAAGCTGTCCTGATAACTTCTACCAAGTATACACTGTCCACTGCTTGGTAGATGGAACAACTTTTCCATGTATCTATGCCCTACTCCCCGATAAAAGGCAAGAAACGTACAACGCTTTCTGGTCGAACTTGAAAGCAGATATCGTCCTCCTAGTTCAATCATGTTGGACTTTGAAATGGCTTGCATCAATTCTGTAGGTGACAACTTTCCAGAGACAGAATTCAAAGGTTTTTTCTTTCACTTCTCGCAAGCCATTTACAGAAAGATACTCGAATTTGGTTATGCTGTACATTATCGCGAGGACAAATAATTTAACCTAGCTATTCGTCTTTTAGCTGAGCTTGCGTTTGCCCCGCCCTTACATGTAGAATCCTGGTATAAACAAATACTAGTAAACTGCCACATTCCTGACGACATCAAAAATTTTTTGAGGACATCTTTGAAGGCAAAGAAACGCGAAACTCGACAAGACGGAAATCGCGATTCGACATGGATATGTGTAACGTTTACTTCAGGACCATTGACAACCTCCCCAGGACAAACAATGCCCTCGAATGATTCCACCGAGGATTCGAATCCATGCTCCAAATGTCAAATCCTGACATATGGAAATTCATAGAGGCAGCAGTCACTGCCAACTTTTAGTTTCGCTCAAATGCAGCTCGGCAAGAAAGTGCATAAAATGAAAGAGGATAATTTTGGAAGGATAAAAAGAAGTTGGATTATCAAAAGCCATAGCTGTTAACTTGTCATTTTAGTTTCTAGGCTTTAATCCATCTACTTCTTTTCTGTTAATTATCTTTCATCATTCAATTTAATTTTTAGTGTCGCTGTTTTATTGAATTCGAATGTGGGGGATTTTAAACTAAAAACTGGGAGATTTTGTCCTCGGGGGATTTGTTTACGGGGGATTTACTCCTGGGGGATTATATCCGGTGTGATTTTATCCTGGGGGATTTAGTCCTAGACTTTTAATTTAGACAAAAGTTTATACAAATGTAAGAGGATAACCTTAAAAACAAACAGAATTAAAGGTTTTAACTTTGTTCCTGGTATCGTGTCGTCTGAAATGAAAACGGTTTTCTAATATTTCAATTTTTCTAGTTGGTGTATTCTATAGGAAGTCCGTTCTTCAGTTCAACTCGAAAAACTGTGTAAGATTTACTCGCGATGGAGAATCCCATGAGTGTATTAATTTACAATGTCGCAATATTCAACTGTCAAACGGTGGTGCTTTTGTGAATAATCAAGTTTATAGAATCTTCAATAGTGCTTAATATTATTTTTCAGACTTTTAATGACAACGGTGATCTGAAGCGATGGCCTTTGATATAGACCCGTCGCAATTAGGGAATCCACAGGATTTGGAACAGCTGTGGGTCAATAAAGCGATCGACTTCTCGGAGGTGCACTATGACTTGTTGCAGTCTCTGGACGCCCGATTCCTGAAACTGACTCACATTGATGACCGGATCTACGAGGCGTTCAAGGTAGGCTGCTAGCTTAGTTACATTTGATACACCTGTTTTGGGAGCTATTCAGTTTGGATGTCTTTTCCAGTTTGTATCCCTATTTGAATTTCACTTTCCAAAACTGTTTTAACGTCATAATATGAGATTCTGCATGATGATTAATTTGACTTATCTAACAGATTTTTCCCTTCATGCCTTTCAAGAAAAGTAACGCATTTTGCCATAATAGCTAAACAGAATGACCCATTTAACCATAATAGCTTGTTTATTTTCATGAAAATGGAAAATTTGTTACGTGGCGTGAAAAAGGGAAAAAAGCTTGGTCGTAAAAATGTAGGCACGTGATCCCTCAAATGTGTGTTCTCTCAACTAGATTTCCAAATAGAGTCAACGAAAAAGCAAACGTTTACGAAAAATTGGCTTTATCTCAATTGGTTCACTCGGAGGCCAATGAAGAATGGAGTTCGATAATGATATCGACTTTCAATCATTGGCAGTATTGCCACCAAATTGGATTGGTGGCGCTTGGGTTAGAAATATGAATTACATGGGTTTCTAATTTCAGGCTTCCTTTCCTGAACTGAATGTAGAGAAAATTGAAGAGGAGGAGCTGAAAAACGAAGCTGCGAAGATCAAATGGCGCCATTTTTGCGAGCAGTTTAAACCGCTGATCAAAGATCACAATTTCGGAACCTTACTTAGATTGGATCCCAAGGGACCGTATACGGAAGAAAATACCACTTTTAGTTACAGACTGCAGTTTTTGGCAATTGAAATAGCGAGGAACAAAGAAGGCTTCAATTTGAGTCTTCATACCATGCCACAACAAGAATTTTCCTGATACGCGAGGATGAAAAAACCTAAGAACTGAGTGTTATGAAAAACCTTGCGGCTGTAGTTTGTTGTCAGAAGTTATTTTGTGTTATTAAATAATGATTAAAACATGGTTAATGGAAAATGATGTTGTTTTAATCTGAATTCAGATTCATGTCAGCTGAACTACTTGAGATTGAAAAATATCTTCAAAGTTAAAAGATCTAAAGAGTAAACAGTTTCAGAGTGCGCTCAATTATGAATGATATCAAAGAATACGACTTCATAATTTGACTGCTTTAATGTGTGAAGGTATGCTCTCTTGAAAAGACATGTCTATCTAATCGTTTAGTAAGATGGCTTATTGGTGAATGGTATTTTTCGGCATCTATATATTCGCTAAAAAAGTTCAAAAACAGTTGTACCCTATAAAACGAAGGAATGACCGAACCAATTTTGTAAGTTATAAACTTTAGGTTATAGTGCTTTTTTGAAAGTTTTTGAAGATAATTAACGGATGTAACGGTGCGCAGTTCTCAGTTCATTTTTTGTACAGTTCACTTGTAATTCACTAATTGTTTTAGCACTAATTTTGTTTCATTTCAGACTTGTATGAGAAATAAAGTTTCATCTAATTTCATCTTGGCTCTTCGACAGACACATTGGAAGTTGAGGTTCTAGAAAAGTTAACTCTCGAAGTGATAGCTTGCTCGTGTTCTCGAAAAGATAGCGAGGAGTCTGAGATGGCGAGGGACTTGGAACACAAGTCTGTCGAGGAGCTACAGCAGTTGGCCTCCAATGAGATAGCACAGATTGAAATGGTCACTAACGATGAATCAGTACGTCCTCTTGTCAATATAACTAAATCATTTAACCCTTCCGGAATGGATTAACGTAAGAGATAAGCAGATTTTCAGAAAAGTTGAAATTTAAAACGCTGTTTTCTCGAGGCAAAATTTCTCGGAGCTTGCTGAGATTTTAGTAGAATTATTATAGTGCATTTTGCTTTGCGAATTTCGGGCCCAAAATTTACCACAAATGCGGATCATTTTAGAGTTTTTTTAGTCAAATATAAATTATACCATAAGTACGAAACCAAATACTGTCGAAATTATATCAAAGTGAGCCTCATATCTGGCCTAACAAAGTTCAGGAAAGCTATACTCACCAAAACATTGTAAAATTTTTTTATTTTTGTTTGGTGGCCAAAAAAGTCATTTTTACCATACAAAAAACCAATATTTTAAAAACAATTTTGTAGACGTTTCGCGGACTTTTGGAGGTTATACCCTGCTTAAACTTTGTTTGGCCACATATGAGGCTCACTTTGATATAATTTTAGTTTTGGATATAATTGGTTTCGTAGTTTTGGTATAATTTTTTAATTGAAAAAAAAGCCTAAAATGATCCGTAGTTGGGCGTAAATTTTAGGGTCCGAAATTCGCTAAACATATTGCACTATAATAATTCTGCTAAAATTATAAGCAAGCTTTGTCCTCCTCACTTTTTGGCTAAAGTCAACCCAATTTGAGCAAAACGCGTTTAAAATGTCAATTTTTATAGTTTTTGTCCGGATGATTTAAATCAGCACTGTACAGTGCTGATATAAATTAACCGGAGACAACGAACATTTGAAATTTCAAATGCGTTTCTCTCAAATTGGATTAAGTTTAGACAAAAAGTGAAGAGAACAAAATTTGCTCAGAATTTTACTAGAATTAATATGGTGCATTTTCCCCGAAACTCTCACCAAAATTGTACCCCTAAAATGAGTCATTTTGGCTTTTTTTAATTTATCAAGAATTAAGCCTGAAACGAAAAAGCTAATTGACGAGGAGAAAGTTATATTAAAAGAAGCGTCTTACACAGCCCAACAAAGTTCTAGGAAGATGAAAGTTCCAAAAATCTGTTCAAGAGAGTTAATTTTTGGTTGATAGCCAAAAATGGTCATTTTTACTATAGAAAAATCAAAATCTTTGGTAAAACAAAGTTCAAACGTTTTCAGCTATTTTTTTGAAAATTTGTCTAGATTTTTGATGGCCTGTGTAAGATGCTTCTTTTGAGATAACTTTCTCATCAATTAACTGGGTAGTTTCAGCGTTATTCTTGATCAGCGTAAATCTGAATTGAAAAAAATTGGGTTAATAATTTCGAGGAAAAAATTCCACCTCATTAATTCTGGTGAAATTCTGAGCATTTTGTTTCTTCACTTTATCCAAATCTTAACCAATTGAGAAAAAATTATTTGCAATTTCAAATTTTGTGCGTTTTTCCGGATAATTTAAATCAGCACTGTAAGCTTTAATATTTCTCATGGCTTGAAAACAAGTTATCGTCATGGAGTCCAACTCTTGCGCTACAACACTCTGTGAGTAATATATGGTGTCAATGCAACAAGTTTTACTGATTCGGATAATTGCAGAACGATTATGTGTCTTTTTCAGCTGCAGGCAGTTCAATTGGAAGTGCACACAGCGCAGGAAAACAACAAGATGCTGGCGACGGAAAATATCCAATATGGGGAGAAAATACCCTCGTTGAAGACAGAAGTGCATAGGCTACACAATGGGATATCAGCTGCCAACGAACAATTAAACCAGCTACTTGCTCAGTACAGTTAGTAAATATGCTCTTGTTAATTAATGAGCGAGATATGTAGTCAGAAGCTGGAACCGATTCTCCACACATTTTGTTTTATCTGAGTGCAATATTTGAAAAAGATCTGATGGTCTGGTCAAATTATAATAGAGGTAATTTTATTTAGTTTAGTTTTTCTCGACACAAATTTTTTTATTTAATCCAAATCACGACCAAAATGTCTGTAATATGTAACCGCATTTGGCTGCTGCGAGCTTTTTAAGTTAGACAAAATTGGCTATCGATTTAAGGCTTAGCAAGTTTTTTTAAGACGGCCAAAAAGGAGATGTTCATTTTCAAACTTCTGACGGTATCCTCTTGTGCGCTTTTTAAAAGCTGCATTTGTGCAAGTAAAAAACTGAATAATTGCTTTGGTTGATTGCTGCCTCAGAGTCGATTCAATAATTGTCCTTATATCAGAATTTGACGTCTGCAGCTCTTGGTTTGAAGGCACGGTTGGAAATTTTTCGACGCTACGGAGGGTGTTTGTCACCGTAGAGCTGGTCAGCCGTCCTCAAGCTTACGTTTCATGCATCCATATAGAATCTCGATCTCCTGCTGGAAGAGTTTTGGGTTTTCGCTGCCGACAAAAGTGTACTCGAATTCATTCCTGGTACTAATGTTTCCAAGGCAATTTTTGAGAATTCACCCATACTCTTCAGATACAATCATAAAACTGAAAATGCTGCAATGGTAAATTCAAACAGCTCTTATATATTTTTTGTCTTTGAAATTCAAACTCGAAAAAACAAGTCAGTCATTCTCCATTGTCTCCATTGTCATTTTTTCAACTGCTTGTTGGTCATGTTATGAAGATCGTTTTAGTCAATTAGAGTACTGCGCCCGTACTGCTAAGCAAATTAAATCTAAATTAATACAGTGATAGCCCGTTGCTGTGCAAGTAGAGCAATGTTCTTATCATATTCATAAAAAGCATCAAAAAATGTTTTTCATTCAAATTAGTGTCGTTTTTTGTTTGTCATTTTGAGAAAACCATTTAAGTTTGTAGAAATTTAGAAAATTAGCCATAATCGACAACAGCTGTCTTCGAAAAACGAGCGCGAAACAAAAAATATGATTTTTTTTTTCAAATTTTTACACAATTCAATTTTTTAAAGTTAAATTTTATGCCAAGGAAGCGCTAAATGACACTAAGTTTTTTGGAAGTAAAATCAAGTTTATTAAAAACCTAATTGACTAGTTTTCATATAACGAACGTTACTCGATTGCTTTACTAACACTTCAAACCAGTTTTTCTCGATATGCGGACAAGATTTTAGGTTGTTCGAATCACGACTGAAAGGGCATTCCGGTTTTTTTGTGGTACCCGATTTCACGTGAAAAATAAACACTCGAAGACAAAGTTCCTCCCATTTTCAATGGTCGGAACAGTAAGGTGAAAGTTCGAACTGTGGTCTCGGATAAGAGTGTTAACTTCATTCCGTGAACTCAGAAAGCAGTAACAATTGCACTAAATTTTTGCTTGTTTTTAGATTCCTTATCGTCGAATTCTTTGCCTTTCGACGACCTGTCAGACCGGTTGAAAATAACAGCAGCGGAATCGGATGAACAGAGCGAGAAGATAGCAGAAGATTTCTTGAATGGTAATCTGCAGTTGGAGTCCTTCTTGCAGGTTTACAAGGAAGCCAGGAAAAACGCACACCTCTCTAGGATAAAGGTAAAAGCTTATAAAGACCAAAAAGTTTGGAGCAAGAAGGGAATTATGTGTGTTCGAATTGAGCTTATTAAGAGAAATGAACGTAGTGAAGACTCTTATATAGGTCTTGTTGATTTTTTTGTTTTCAGGAAAAAGTCTTAAAATGCTCTAATAACTACAGATTTGCATTCATGCTTATGCATTTATGAATGCACTTAGGTAAATTTGCACATTTTGAGTTCAATTGAAATTCATCTGCTGAAAGTTTCATAAATAGCACTCTCCAAAAACGAACGTGGAAACGGCGCAAAAAACGTGAACAATTTCTAGTTTCGAATATGGAATTTAGTTTTTAGATTTCCAGCGGAATACAAACTTTTCCTATTGATTCAGTTTTCTCAAGTTGGGTTAATGTTATCAAAAAAAATGCCAATCATAATTTGTTCCGGAAATTCAAAGAGCTTAAACGTCGTCTATTTTTTTCTTTGACATTCGAAAGTTGAAATTTTTCAACAAAGTCAGTCAGTGTGTTTTATCTCTGTTTAGTTGCGTTCATTACTGTTTTCCAACTGTCTGTTGGCTATGTTTTTTGTGGTACTTGATTTTACGTGAAAAAAAACTAAAACTTCCGAAGACGCTCTCCAAGTTCCTTGATACTTTTTCTTCTGTCTGTGGGCTATCTTTGTTCATAATATTCTTTTTTTACGCAGGAGAGTTGTATATTGTATCACGAACCTACTTCATTACCCAACTAGCAAAAAAATTGCTCATTTGATGGCATTTTTGTCGCATAGCATTGGCACTTTAGTAGCATCTGTTCTATCTGCTTTATTGCTGGCTATTTTTTTTGCAAATTTTCAGACTACCATGGCGCAGATGCAAGGATCTGAGATTGGATATCTCGAGTTTGGAGGTTGGACTGCGGTCCAGGAAATGGTTTTTTTCAAAGCTTTTAATTTTTGTTTCTTCCTTTTGCTTTTTAAAAATAATTTTAGAGTTACAGCTCTCTCTTGCCGTTTTCTTGCTTGTCGTGTTAGCAAATCTCTCATTCTCTGTTTTTAAATCTTATTCCTTGCATTAAGATTCTTGAATTTCGAAGAGCTTTCAGATGATGCATGTTTGAAAAAAAAAACAAGAAGACATTTTTTGAGCTTTTTTTCTTTTTTTTGCGGTTTCCTTGAGTTTGAAACTTTTCGAACCGGCTGTTGGCTTTGTTTTTAGAGTCATATGCAGTGTATCTTCGTTTTTCCCATTATAATGTACAATTTGTGGATTTACACAAGTTTTTTTTGCTCATATTTGGCTCCGTTGAGCTCCTTCGTGTTTCTCTTAAAGTTCGTTGACACTTAATGAACGTAGTGAAGAGAAACAAAAAGGAGCTCAACGGATCCACATATGAGCAATATAACCTGTGTAAAGGCCAAAATTGTACCTTATGATAGGAAAACCGAAGAAAGACTGCATATTACTTCAAAAACAAAGCCAACAGGCGGCTGTAAAAGTGTGAGTGAGCTAAAGGAAAATAGCTCAAAAATACCTGCTTTTTTCAGGTAAAAGTTTTCACGATTAAACTTGATTTTTCGCTATGTTTTTTTTAAATTTATGTTCAATACTATTTCATTTTCTAGAAGAACAACAAATTACGCTCTGAAATAACAAAAAATCAAATGGCGCAAAATAATTAACTGAATTCGAGTGTCAAAATTGGAGTGTCCAGTCGATAGAATAATAGTCTATTGATCTAGTTTTTCAATATTAGTTTTCAAGGTTAGTTTCATGGAAAAAGTGTCAAAAATATTTTGCAAATTCGAAGAGTTTTGAGGAGATATTGAATTGTTTTGAATTTTGAAGTTCTTTTCTTCTTTGAATATTGCAAAATTGTATCGTTTGAAAAAATATATAATTTTTAGTCTCGTTGTGTGCAATGACAGTTCCAACTGTTTTTTGGCCATCTTATATCAAACGGCTACAGTGCTGAGATTCCAGATGGTTGCCCAAAATATGAAATAAATTATCTGATGCCTATTTTTTCGTCGTTTTCCAAGTCATGAATACAATTGATGTGGTATTTGCTGATATCACAAAACACGTCATTTACGCTGGTTGCACGCAAGGTGTTCTATTTGTGTTCAAGGCTGAAAAGTTCTCAGAACTAGTGGAAGAAGAGCGAATCAAGAGACAACAGCAGAGCAGTCTGGCTCAAATGAACTCTTCGACTGCAGGGGTCTCCGTTCCTGGGGTGCCAATGAACAGCATGAGTTACAACCCCTATCTGGCTAACCAGAGGGCAAACGTATCTGGCGGAATGAATCAGCAACCTCCCTATCCTTCTCACAATCCATACAGTGCTTACCCTGCCACTGCTGTGTATCCATAGTCAAGTTAAAAAAAATGGACTGATCCTTTATATTTTTGATAGTAAATAACGAAGCGGCGTATCTTGTTAGTTGTTGTTTTATAAATGGTATCCAAAGTATTGTAAAGTGAACCGTTTTCTGGAAGTCAATTATAAACGATAGAGTTTGAGAAAATTGAACATGTTTTGCTTCCACCTAATTTGATGAAAATAACCAGCCAACCGAGAGAAATCTGGCAACAAAAGTGAAGTTGCGATGAGTTCTTGCGGATACAGTATTATTGCCGTTTGGATCATCTTTGATCCATTTTTTTTTATTATGTCGCTTGGATCACCTTTGATCCACTTTTTTTTTTTCAATTAGCCATTTGAAGAAGGACATGATTTAAGCTATGATTGCTTAAAAACCAACTCATTGGATTAATTTGGTGTTTTGGAATGACATAGATAGATTGAATTGTACCCGATAGTTTAGCTCTAATTATAGTTCCCACTCTGGCAGATAATTTCCTTCAATAATTTCAAATATTCGCAAAATGTTTTTACCAGCGTTATTTTCAAATGAAACAATGCAGCCTGGTTACTTTCTTTTCGTTGACACTAAACAGTCCATATTGCTTTTCAGAATTATCTGGACTTGACGAAGATATTTTGATCGAATTCTCCTAGAGACAGGAAGATTGCAATGTTTAAAAATCGCGATGTGCAAAACGAAGAAGATAACGATCTCTGTGTACATTACGGAACTCCCTTTGCGCCTCTAGATGAAGATGAACAGCCAATCAGAAAGCCAGTTCCAATCCATGAACAGGTCGTAACTGACGATAGAGGGCGACAAAGGTTCCATGGCGCTTTCACTGGAGGTTTCTCGGCTGGGTTCTTTAACACTGTGGGGTCCAAAGAGGGCTTCGAACCGCAGACTTTTCAGTCATCACGATCGAGTCGACAGTCATTCAAGCAGAAAGATGTGAACGATTTTATGGATGAAGAGGATATTAATGAGTTCGGAATTGCTCCCAAGAGGTTAAAAGTTAACGAGGATTTTGTCAATGAAAAGTCAGCCGGTCAAGTTAATAAAAAGTTAGATCTAATTGAACGACACATTCAAGCTAATCCAGTTGATTTAGGGATCCGTTTATTGAGACGTCTCGGAATAAGAGATGGTAAAGGCGTTGGTGCTAATGTAGAAAGGGCTCTTTCCATAGCCCAAGGCAGTAATGATTCAAACGAGGAACTAGAATGTGGAAAAGTTTATACTTGTGCCAGGCCACCCCCGGAATTCGAACTTCTGGCTGAGCCGGACTCAATAGAGCCTGATATGATGAGAAAGTTTAGGTTAGCTCCTGATGATGTCTCAGCATTTGTTGTCGACAGTCACAAAAACGACCGTAAAGGATTAGGTTACACGGGGCTGAATCCAGAAGTCTTTGTGGGGCGAAAAGGTAATAATTTTGTATCGAGAACTGTTACGGGAATGTCAGGTCAAGCGTTTGGCGTTGGAGCTTTTGAAGATGAAGATGACGATGTGTATGCGCATGAAAATATGAGCGAGTATGATTTTGAAATCGGACCTGCGAGATTGAAAGATAAACGAGAAGCTAACAAAATTGGTCTCGGTGTTACGGAAGGGTTTTTGAAAGCTAAGAAGAGTTTTGAAATGAAACAAGTTAAAGCGCCTAAATTACCACCTAACTATAAGCCTTCAGTGCCTAAATCAGTGCTAAGTTTGGCTGAGAAAGATAGTTCTAAAGATCTGGAACTCTCGAAACCTTTAGTTTTTGCCGGAGTACGTACAAAACAAGGACTAATTGAACCCGTTACCAGCAAATCAGCCAACCCTTTTTCTAGTAACAAAGTTGGCAAAGCAGTATTGAATATATCAGATACAACTGAAAATGCGATACACAATTTTGCCAATGGTTCTAATGATAGCAAATTAGAATGGTCTGAAAATTCGGCCGAAAAGCAGTTTAAACCTTCTATTTTACCGACTAACTCTAGATTTGTGTCTGCTGGAAAGTTGGACACATTGAGCAATCGGGTTATTGAACACGAGCACATTGAAACTCCGAGAGAAAAAGCAGCGCGCATGAAAATGTTTGGACCTTTGACACGATCAGTAATGCCTTTTCGCTTTGCGCCAGTAGTATGCAAACGTTTTAACGTAAAAACCACAGCCGAGAATTCTTACGAGCCAAAACTACAAGAAAACTCAGTTAAAAGTATGTTTAATGGAGGATCATCAAATAATAGTGCGTCGGTCATTGAACTCGCAGTAGGAGTTAATAATACTCAAAAAGATAAATCATTAGCTAATCGGTCTGCGTCGAAGTCGAACTTTCTAGCATTTTTAAATGACGAGCCTCAATCGCAAAATTATGGTCAAAAAACGTCATCAAGTAGCTCAACAGAAAATGCTATGCGTAATAAACAAGTGACCGAAAACAATGAACTCAGTTCGAAGGTAAACCATAATAACGAAGAAAAGTCAGCAAATGAAACTTACGCAAATTCTGAAGAAGTTTTGGACTCTCTTAAAAATGTCAACCTTCTTTTAGATGTTTTTGGAGACGACGACGAGGATGATGGCGATGACGATAATAATCCGAGCGACTATGATCCAAAAAACGCTGAAAATGTGTTGAGTTCAACGTTTTTGAAAAGTAAAAGTGTTTCAAATGAACTAATTGGTGGACATTCTTCTGAAGATTTTGACTCGTTCAGTAAATTTTTCAAAGTACCCGAAAACATATCTACAATTCAGAGTTCGCATAATTCATCTACTTTGCCAGAAAATTGCAAAATGAAAGAAGGAAGTGAACAACAAGAATCAGTCGAATCAGATGATGAGTTTGGTCCGAGCTTACCTCCAATATTACCAGTTGTGTTCTCTAGCGACAAATCTGAAATCAGCCAGGAAAATCCGAAAACAGAACTCAATGTTTTAGAATCACTTCAGTCATCAAGCTTGAGTTTAGAGCTGGTTGAGAAAACGCGCGAGCAGCTGAAACATAAAAAGAAGAATAAAGAGAAAAGGCACAAAAAATCTTCAAAAAGATAGTCACAATTTGGGAGGCCACAAAGATCAGTTTATTGTCCGAGTCGGTGCTTTGGTCGATGAACGCCCGTTTCTAAAGGAGAGGATTGATGAGCTTTAGTGGTGAGAGGAATCAAACCATTGAGTGGTGGCATTGTTATGGCTTTCAACTTGGATTTATACCATCAATTCTATTTAGCGGACGTCGCTAGTTCACACGGTTTCACGCTTTGACTAGCACGTTGTTAAGTGTTTTGAACAAAAAGGGTTGGACCTGGATTGGTACGCAGTGGAATTCATTGAGTGTCATTGACTTGAGTATATGGTAGCTAAACCATATATTCTCTTTGTTATTACTTCTGATTTAAATTACTTAATCGAACTGAGATTTTGCTATTGAAAGTAAAACCAACATCTTTTTTAATCAGACCATTTAAAAAGAGGAGGAACTTGTATTCGGATGATTTAGTTTCTTTTTTTTTATTTTCCTCGCAAAATTAGGTACCACAAATAATCATTGGAAAGGATCGAGTGATATATCAAATTAAAGCCCTTTCCGTAGTGATTCGAACCATGTAAAAATTTCAAAAGATTACCTCAGTGCCGAGAAAAATTGGTAAAAATTTCTGTGATGTAGTTCAATTTCGAGCAATAAACGCAATCGAAGAGGCTTATTGTCGAAGGATAAACCGTGAAATTTTTATTTTATCTCGTAAAATTTTAGTTTTACTCCATATAAAAAAGTTTTTGAAGTTTTTTTGCCGCATTCTGCAAAAAAACTGAAAAAAAAATAAATTACTTTTTTGTTTTGTCATTTTTAGAAAAAAAAAGGTTGTCCAATCTGCCTATTTAATTATAACCAAGGGCAGATTTAGAGAGGGGCGGACGCCCCCCCCCCCCCCCCTCAGGGATTCGATCCCCTGCCGACCCAAAGGGTCCCCCCTTTGGTACTTTTTGAGAAATCCAGTTTTGTTCGACCAACCCTAAAATTTTTCTAAAGGCGCCTTGAGCGCCAATATATAATAAATGTGAGGGGGGGAGCGCGCGAAAAAACGCGATTTTTTTGGTCAAAATTTTTCAAAAAGTGCCTAAAAATGCCTTTTTGGACTGTTTTTTCAAAATTTTGCCTGCGGCGCAGAAAATTTCGGCAAAATAGGGACTAAACCGAGCTTAGGGAGAGCTCAAAAAATCAATTCGGTCGACCTAAAAAAAAGGTCGACAAAAGTTTTTGAAAATAAGCCCCCCCCCCTCGAGAAAATCCTAGATCCGCCCCTGATTATAACTGTAGAATATGCCTAAGTTGTAGGCTTTCTTCAGATCTTTTTCTTACACCACGCACAAAAACGATGCTATTTTAAAAAAAGAAGAAAGTTATGTACTACATGGTTTATTTCTGGCTCTTCTTTTAGATTTCTGGCTCTTCAAATTATTGAACTTATAATAAACAGGATAAAAGTTATCAAAAAAGATGAAGGATAAAGATTATAATAATGGCAATAAGATTGCTCTTATCGGCGTGATGCCCTGAATGTTCCGACTGTCCTTTAACTTCTGTGAATTGTTTTTGATTTTGAAAAATCGATTGTTTTGCTGCATTTTTTAAAATCTTCATTGACCACAAAATTAATGTATTTAGCCAGGGTGGATCTAGGATTCCAGGTTGACCAAGTTAATTTTTCAAGCTCTCCCAAAGCACCAAAGGCGTCTTGAGAAAAATTATAGGATCGGTTCGCAAAAATGGATGTCATAAAAAAGTAACAAAGAGGGATGTGATGACCTAAGCGGCACTTCAGAAATTGTAGAAACGAGGTTGCATGAATTTATTTTATAATAGTGCAGCTATCGTTGTTGCTGATAGCTGGACTAATCGATCAGTGATGGCTAAATAATTGGTTAGTATGAACACATCAGTGGTATTTACAGTATTAAATAACAATCAAGAATCAGAACGGGAAAATTTTCCCATAGGAACAATTCGTAACTACATATTTATAACTAATTCTCTTGATCTTGTCTTCATAGTAAACTTCAATGAAGTTTCATGATATGCTAAGATCATGACACAACCCTTCTTCAAAAAAAGGTTTACCACAAACAGATTTCTGAATTTCTGCTTACCAAAAATAGCAGTTTTATTCAGTTGTTTATCAATTGATCTGGGATTAGTTGCATCTTATCTCTTTCTTATTCGAATTTCAGATAGGATGGTATGATTTTTCGTGCACCAGCTAATTTATGATAAAGAAGAAGAAAAGTATATAGTATCCAGTTGATATCATGAATGATAAAATGCTTATCATTCAAGGCTTTTTTTTAGAAGTTGACAACTTTCTAATTGTCGGACAAGTTTGGGTTTCAGTTTTTCATGCTGTTTGCCATTGTGACTGCTATATCCTCTAAATCTTTTAGTGTTGGCGATGTTGGCAGTTGTTTGAGTTTTTCTCTCATTTGTCTGAGCATGTCAATGCTCGCGGCTGCTTGTATTTTATAGTTCGGCATTTCATCTCTTGTTGGTAGAACGCTTAATAAGTTTTGAAGTTGATCAGGCAGTTTGGCATTTTTCTTTCACTACTGGGATTTTATCTCATGCACTTAAGTCGCTTCGAATTTTTATATTGCCACCCATGATTTGCTTTCCACATTCGAGTGTGATGATGCAGATTCAGCATCCGCTCTATTTGCGCACTCCTGTGTTTTCGGACTTGATAATGTACGAGTCAATCAATGGGTAGCTGTCATTTGATGACAATAGAAGCCAAACTCCGTATCCAAGGTTATATGCTTGTTCTCGCATCGGTAGAAAGACTTTCTCCGTTTTAAAAACTTGCATGGCATCCATAGTTCCTTTGAAATGCAGCTTCGATAGGCATGAAGCGTGTCTCATCTATGTTGCCATATTTTCATGACATATTTGATACCTTGAGGATCCAATGCATTTTTCCAATTGAAAGTATATTCTTCACGCAACTATAGTCTTCACTATACTCTTCTATTTTTCTTTACAACGGGAATGAAATTGAAACAAGGGCAGTTTGATACGTGATATAGTTTGAACTTAATAAACTCCATGAACTTTCGACAAACATCTGGTATTTATACTCGACCTCATGAGAAAACTTTAATCGTCAAATAACTTTGTCTTCTGGTCAACTAAAACACTTATGTCAAATTCGTTAATATTTAATAATATGAATGTCAAGTTATCTTCAATGAACAATTATTGCCAAAGTTAGATGCTATAACCGAAAGTAGTATAAAAGGAAGCTAAAAAATAACGTACCGATATCTGTAGTCACTGTTGTAAATCGAGACACTTTCTTGGGTATACGCATGGAGTAGGGTCATTAAACGCATCAATGAAACACCTGTCAATAAAATTTTCAGCGACAAAATTTGGCTGCAAAAAAAAACGACCTACGTCTAACCTGTTATTTTCATACGTTTTTTTAAGCTTTATCCTATTTGGATTTAAAGGCTCTTTCTGCCTGAAATGATTTTTACCGGACCTTGCATTAAATTATAGTTTTTGTAATAAGGATAGTTTCGTTATATTATTGGGGATGGGAGTAATAAAAGGTATTGGAGAATCTTTTAAAATAATACCTATAGGCACAACAACATTTAATGCACCCAAACAAACGAGTATACGACCCTTATAAGAAGTTTGTTGAAAACTAAATACGCTCCGTTGTGTAGACCTGGCTTAACAACTCGAAATATTTCACCCATACTTCTGTTTTTTTTTACTTGCAACTCGAGACGGTTCATCTGATTTTACTCGCGAAATAAGTTCCGCTTCTCTGTCATGTGACTCCACGTTTCTCATGCCAGTCAACACCTTTAGGTATTTTCTTCTGACAATTTGTAGACTGTTTTAAACAAACAACAGACACAAATTTTACGGCTGGATGTAAACATGCAATCAAAACAACAAAACGGAAACGTCAACCCATTGTTTTTGAATTGAACTGACTGTAGAAAAAATAGGGAAAGGTCATTTCAAAGTTGATTTGTATTTGTTGGCTACTTGTAGTCAATAAAAAGGTGGTTCCTTGTTTCAAACAAATTAGAACCAAATGGACCTCTCAAACAACTAATCATTTTCAAGAAAAGCCCAACGCGTTTAAATGTTTAAAAAAGGGTTTCATTTGTAAAAATTGTCAGTTATAGTAGACTTGACTTTTTCAGCGAGCAGATCAAAAAAGTTAAGAAACAAAAGATCAAAAAAATTGTGCCCTTCAAATATTTTGTTTATTCGGAGGTTCATTTGGTTGAAATTTGTCAATCAAAAAAGTGTTTTTGTGCATTTTTTTTACCATGATATAAAACTGTCCAATTGCTTCTGTAACAGTTTGCGCCAAAATTTTTACACTTAACGGTTTCTTAATAAACTTCGCAAACAATTAAGTTTCTGATAGATTCGAGTTTTCAGTTTTGTTCATTTTCAGATAATTCAAACAGCTCTGTTTTCAATCTACCGTTTCTATTTTTTTTATTTCAAACAAAAAATGCACGTCCTAATTGAAATGGAAGGTGTAAGTTTCATAAATTGGGGAACTAAATTGAAAAAACAACTTAATGCGAACTTTTACCCTCACATCCTAAGTTGCATTTTACACAATTTTCACTAAGAACCACGATGATAATTCAAACTTGATAGTAGTGGCGGAAAAAGTTTTTCAATCAAGGACGCACACTGGTCAAGTGTGCACTCTGTTTTCTTTCCATTTACTGGTGAAAACTCTAAACAAGTTTCGTAATTATCTCTACAGCTACCTAATATTTGCACTGGTTTTTCTCGTCACGGAAATCATAAGAAGAAAGCAACCGATAAGTATAGCGCAGTGCCGCTAGGAAGATCAATTGAAAAATTCATGTTCTCTTGCTTTTTTTTAGCATGAAGATCGTTTTGGAAAAGCATTAAAAGTGGGACTATTGAGTTTTAGATCAGTATCGGAATGAAATCAACGAAGCTTCAAAATAGCTGACAGTACTTGATCAGTTTTCTGTTTACCGGAAAAGTAATTTTGTCATGACAAAAGTTTATGACTGAGCTCGTGCGACGCAAGATTCTCATTTCATTTCGTTCTTTATTGGATAGTATTAGACTCTCGACCTCAAACTACTTGCACTATCGGATCTTTTTTAAAAAAAAAGTGGATGCAACTTCCTTCGGTGTTGCAACAATTTAGGTCAACTGTGACGCGCTGCTGTTAGATGATGTTTCAGTTGCAATCTTTAAGCCTTGAAACATTTGCTGTGTTGTGATCTCGTGTTTCTTCGCTATAATGTGAAGCTTTCGCAACAGATATGAGCTACTTGACTATTTAGTTTGAGCTTCTCAATTTCTTCTACAATCCGCGCAAGATGCTTTCGGTTTCGACGCGACTTGGTACGCCGCTTCACCAAGGT